GCAATTTGTACCTACTCATGGGTCTTTCTAGATGTGCTCAGGCTTGAGGCTGGTTTCTCATTCTGCATTTCCCAGAGCTGGGGGATTGGCATGGCAAATTCTGGAAGAGAAATCACAGAGTTTGGAGGTTTAGGGCAAGCTTAAGGCAATTGAGACCATAGGCAGCAAGAGAAGGGAGAATATGGAACTTGTGCCTTGCTCTATCTCCACATTTTCACAGACAGCAGCCAGTCTCTTTATATGTGCCTATGTTTCTTGTATCCTGTCCTAGAAATTCATTTGGGTGTAATTAATTATAAGTAAAGGATTAGCCTTATGAGCACTGAGCTTTTCAGTAATGGGGGAGTGAAGCTGGTAAATAAATTATTTCTTCTTTCTCTGGATCAATAAGGCTGTCCACTCTCTCCATACTTCTTCAATATAGTGCTTGAAGTTCTAGCAATAGCAATAAGACAAGATAAGAGGATCAAGGGGATTAGAATTGGAAAGGATGAAGTTAAACTTTTGTTACTTGCAGATGATATGATAGTGTATATAAGTGACCCCAAAAACTCTACCAAAGAACTCCTACAGCTGATAAACACCTTTAGTAATGTGGCAGGATACAAGATCAACTCCAAAAAATCGGTTGCCCTCCCATACACAAAGGACAAAGAAACAGGGGGAAATCAGAGAAACTTCACCTTTCATGATAGCCACAAATAGCATAAAATATCTTGGGGTAACTCTAACCAAGAAAGTGAAAGACCTATTTGACAAGAACTTTAAGTCTTTGAAGAAAGAAATTGAGGAGGATACTAGAAAATGGGAAGATCTCCCTTATTTTTGGATTGAGAGGATCAACATAGTAAAAATGGCAATTCTACCAAAAGCAATCTATAGATTCAATGCAATCCCCATCAAAATCCCATCAAACTTCTTCACAGACCTTGAGAGAACAATAATCAATTATATGGCAAAACAAAAAACCCAGGATAGCCAAAACAATCTTATACAATAAAAGAACTTCAGGAGGCATTACCATCCCTGACTTCAAACTCTATTACAGAGCTACAGTAATGAAAACAGCTTGGTATTGGCATAAGAACAGAGAAGTCGACTTATGGAATCGAATAGAAGACCCGGATATTAGCCCACAATTCTATGAACACCTGATTTTCGACAAGGGAGCTAAAGGTATACAATGAAAAAAGGATAGCATCTTTAACAAATGGTGCTGGCATAACTGGATGTCAACCTATAGAAGAATGAAAGTAGATCCATATCTATCACCATGCACAAAACTCAAGTCCAAATGGATTAAAGACATCAACATTAATCTGTCCACTTTGAACCTGATAGAAGAGAAAGTGGGAAGTAGTCTACAAGACATAGGCACAGGAGACCACTTCCTAAGTAGAACCCCAGTAGCACAGACAATAAGAGAATCGATGAATAAATGGGACCTCCTGAAACTGAGAAGCTTCTGTAAAGCAAAGGACACTGTCAGTAAGACAAAAGGCTACCTTCTAACTGGGAGAAGATCTTCACCAACCCTTCATCAGACAAAGGTCTGATCTCCAAAATATACAAAGAACTCAAGAAACTAGACACTAAAACTCTAATTAATCCAACTCTATAGTGAGTAACATCTCTGAAAGCCAAGGAAATTAGCAGGTGGCTGCTCATATCTAGCAGTGGCTGTTGAGTAATACAGGTGCATGTGTTCAGGTGCATTTGTTCCCCTTTCTCCACCCACAACCTCACCCCTAATACTGATGGTCAGGAGGCAGGCACATAAGCATTTGCCTGAGTGATATGTTTTCTCTTTCCTTTTAATCTTGTTAATACACTTTAAGCAAGTTCAAATACTTGTAATTTAGCAATCAGGCTACAAAAATAGCCATTACTTTCCCAGTATTAGCCAGGTGTCCTTTTTAATTTTTAGTTATAAATTATTTTGTTTGTATGATTGTATTACATGTATATCAGGTTATCATATGCGTGCGTTGTGCAGAGAGATCTCAGAAGAGAGAGTCACATCCCCTGGACTAGAGTTATGGTCAGTTGTGAACCACCATCAGGGTGCTGAGAATCAAAACTGGGTCTTCTTTAAGATCAAGTATACTAAACTGATGAGCATCTCTCCAAGTCTGTAAATGCATCTCTTATAAAAGGTCAGGTTGATGAGTGAAAGTGAAACCTGAGTTGCCAATACAAGTGAACAAACTGTGATAGAGTTAGGAAATAGTATTGATACAGGCCATGTGCAGTTGTCGTAACCTCAACTGTCACAATCATCTACCGAACTGTTGATGGAGGATAAGGAACCAAAGTTCAACACTATTCCATGTTCCCAGAGAAGAAAACATACCTGTGGTAACTAAATTATTTTATTACCACTGACCAACTTTATAAATGCAAAATTAATAAACCAAATATAATATTTATACATATATTGATAGAGATAATTGATAACTTTTTAATATTAACAAGGTAATAGATGTTAAAGTTTACAATTCTTTCCACATTGATCTTCAAACCCTTTCACAAGGCATCAGGAGATTTAATTTACTACATGTATTTATGGTTAAATGTTTTATTTTTTGAATATTTTAAGTTTCTATGTATGGGATTTATACACTGCAGACCTACTGAGTACAGTCCTATGACTCCTGGGAATTCAAACATGGTCCTCTGGAAGAGCATTCAGGGCTCCTCACAGATGAACCAGGTCTCTAGCCACAATGTGGTATTTTATATGTTTCTAGACCTGGATTATACACTTCTAGAAAAAGGAATGTATTTTGTTGTGTTAGTTAGGTGATCTAAATTTGATGCAGGTTTTTATGATCAGTACATTTCGTAGTCATCCTTACATGAGAAATGAGTTGACGACTGGGTTTCAACAATTTTCTCTATTCTTCCTGAGTCAGTCACACTGTGAGTCAGATCCTTGCCACACATTCGGTGTGTTTATTAGAAACCACAGACTAGGCCTGAAGTGTGCAAAGGAGGAGTCAGGTATGATTACAATGTTAGCTTATAAAAGTGAACTAAAGTCACCACTAACTGGGAATGTGGGATCAGAAGAAGCCATGATGGCCATGTGGTCACTCAGGAGTACTGAGTCTGTACCCTCTGGAGCACCTACAGGAATCTGGAAGATTTTTACATTTCTCACATGACAAAGGAAGTCCAGTGCTTGATGTATATCTAATAGATATGTTTTTAATTTTCCCACACTTTAATTTATGCAATGAAATACTACATATTAAATAGTATTCTAATAGTGTTTTATCACCATTTGATTTAAATTTAAACAGAGGAAAAAAGAAAATTCAGATTTTAAAAGTCCTCCCACAGAACAGATTTGTAAAAATTATATCCCATTTTTTGTTTGTTGATATAAACAATGTATTCATTGACTAGTTTTATGTAATTTCTACTACTCTAAGGGTCAGTGAGATTTAAAAGAAAATCCATCTTAAGTGGTCGCTGGCCCAAAGGAATGACACTTGTTGGATTCTTTTGTTTTTTTTTTTTGTTGTTGTTGGATTCTTTTGAAATATAAAAATGATTCTTGATTCTTCATTACATGGCTGAATTCACACATCCATCACCATAAAACAAAAAGCTACGACAGTTGAAGCTAGAAAAATAGTCCTATCATCTCCTTTTTCATAAGACATACATTCTTTTGCCAACACCCTGTCCTTTCTCACCTCTTAAGATTATCCTGTTCTTATTTCCTTTCTAGAACTTGGATTTACCACACTTTATGCACACTTATAGGTATGTGAGTGGACACAAATTTATACATATATGTTTTTTAATGAATGTACTACCAATATCTTTTCTTTTTCAAATATTTACCATTTTCTTTATGGGCATGTGTTTGTAGTGTGAGAATATATCGTCTGAGTACACACTTTCAAGGGGAAGAAGGTGTCAGATTCCCTGGAGCTGTAGGTAGAGATGACCGTGAACGACTGATGTGTTGGGACCTCTGCGAGAGAAGCCAGCACTATTGGTCAATGAGCCATCTCTCCAGCCCCTGGCTATTTGTAAATAGCCAGAAAAAATGACTGATTCAAAGAGTGGAATAATTACTTGAAACATCCACCCTGATGATCCTTCTAGCAATGAAAGGAAGAAGAGATCTGAATCAATTGCACTATTATTGCTACATTAGTGCTCTTCCTTACACTGAAAATCTTACAAAGACCTACATACCCAAGCACTGACAGTTCCCTGAGCGTTAGGGAACTGCTCCCAGTGATCTCCATGACTCTAGTGACTCATTCACTCCTCAGTCAGAGCACAGAAACAAAAGCCCAACAACAACAAATGAAAACCCCACCTCATTTGGCATCACTGATTCAGTTGGTGATACCCTTTCAAAGGCCCTGAAAGGCTGGAGTTTTACTCTTCTGTGATCTTTTGCTATGTCTTTACATTATTTAAAAGAAATAAATGGAAATTTCTAGTTCTTCCTGAAGTATTCCTAAGGATTCCTAGGTACCACCATAGATGTATATGCGTGCATTTGCAGACAGCTATCGGATAGTCTAAACGTTGTAAGATTTAACCTTTATTAGCAATGACAAAAAGAAAATGATTGTCAAAATGTCATCCAGATTATGAGCTATTGATGGAAAAGCCAAAGAGCCTGTCAGTTGAATTGGCTTCCCGGTCAGTTCGCGGTCTGTGCTGTGCATAGAGGACACGGAATCCAACTATGGCTGCGCCCCACCCACTGAGTGTCAGCCAGTCTCTCCAAATGCAAACATCCCACTCCCACCCCCAAACTCCCTCTCATGTCCCTCAAGTCCAACACTCTCACCCACTCCCTCACCACCCTTGGCTCTCGAGCCCCCAGGCTTCGTGGCGAGGCTGATTTCTCAGGCTCTGTAGCTGTGCAGTGCCCTGGTCTGTGCAGAGCTCAGCATGCACCAGGAGCTCTGCGCATGTGTACTTAGGCATGTGCAGGAGCAGTTGAGAAGACGGTTGGAAGAGCAGGAACTGTGGCCTCCGAGCCCTGAAACCCACAGTTCAGTTTGCTGTCAGCTGCCCTGTCTCCCTCTCAGTGGGGTCATTGCTGTATCGCTGAGCCGGTAGGATGAGAAAAACCTCCGCTTCTTGCCGTCTCAGAGGCAGATGTGGGCAACTCGGGTTTCCCTCATGGGAAAGCAATATAGTCCAACCAGAAGGGCTTCAGTGAGGTGCAGCTCAGATGTCCTAATAGCAAGACTCCCCTGGCGTCTGCTTAAAACTAGATTTAGAAACGCTAGGGCCCACGTGACATTCATGTCCAGCCCATGTCGCCTTACACTAAGATTTTGCAGTTAATCTGACAACCAGCATTTTCAAAATGCAGCCGTTTATGCCTGTATTCTTTCTTTTAGATGGGACAGTCCACAAGTATGTGTAGGCTCCTTTCCCTTAGGTTACTCTGAAGGCTAATCTTGGTTGTCAACCTCACACCCAATTAAGTAATTGCCCTTTTAGTGCTGACCTCTGGGCATGTCTATGGGACATTTTCTTGAGTAGGCGGGCCAGTCTGACTTTGGATGGTACTATCATCCCTAGGCAGGAGGGCCTGGGTTGTACAAGAAAAGCAGCTTGACTTTGGCCAGGGAGCAAGACAATATCAGTGTAGTTCCTGGGTTTCTGTTTCAAGCTCCTCCGTTGACTTCTGCTTGGCTTCTCTAGATGATGAAGAACCACAAGCTGTTATAAGAAGTAAACCCTTTCTTACCATATTGGTTCTAGTCAGTGTTTTATCACAGCAGTGGAAAGAAAGCCAAGAGTAATTTCAAGGTGTGCAATCACCCCAACCTTTTATTGCAGTGCACTTAAGCTCTGTCTCCTTCCTAATGTAAATACTTCAATGACTGTTCGATATTACAACATTTCTTTTATATCAGCTTTTAGATAGATTGATTGTAATTGAAAATTTAATGCATAAATGGAGGGAAAACAATCTGCAATGCAAAGTAATTCTATTTCCAGCCCTTTTATTGCTTGAGATGAAGCTGTCCACAGGTGTATTCAGTGATAGTTTTGTGGGGGAAAACTTGGAGAAGCTTTATGCAAAGGGGATATGCTTATTATCTAGGAAAATACTGGTGCAGCAGAGTGGAAGGAGGGTAGGTTGACTACTAGTAGCCTGCTAGGCAACATGGGGCTTTGCCTAGTTGCGACTCAAGTCCACGTGTGCCCAGTGTCCTTGGTCATACAACTGCTTCATTCTCAGTGTCGGTTTTAGGGTTTTGTCAGCTTCGCACAAACTAGAGGCATCTGGGAAGAGGGAACAGCAATTGAGATAATGCTTTTAACTGATTGTCCCATAGGCAAATCTAAAGCATTTTAGTGACTGTTGTTTGATGTGACAGCTTTGATCTAGAGCTGTGGTAGAGAACTTTGACTACTACAAGGAGATAGGATGTTAGTGTAGGGTAGAAGGTCGGAACCCTCTTCCAGGTTTGAAAACCTATCAAGATACACTAATCCCTGAGTCCCAAAACAAACCTCCCAAGTAACAAAAACACATCAATCCCTGAGCTCAAAAATCACACCAATCCCCAGGTTTGACGTGAAATGTCACCAATTCCCACCCTGGAAATCTCCCGCCTGGAAAATTCGTCTCCCAAGAAACTGTATAAGCCTGTCTCCCACTCAGTTTCCTGTCGCTTCTCTCCTGAGCAGAGGCAGCCACCCTCCTGCTCCTTTTCCCTCTGTATCTCTTGTGTGGGATTTGTTGTGCAGTGTGATTTTGTGGTATTCCTTTGCTTCTGGTTGCTAGACTGCCTTTTCCCTCAGAACTGTAACACTTACACAGGGGAAAACTCTCCCCTCAAGTTGTAATACTTCTACTGGGGAAATATTTTATTTCAGGGCTGCAATATTTGTATTGCAAAAAGTAATCCCCTCAGACGAGTAACAGAGTCAGGGCTGGATGATCCTTGCCTGAATCCCTCTATCTAATATTACAGTTATAATTCAGTGCCTACCTAGGGGAGAGAAAAAACTTAAGCCTTTCCATGCTTTCCCAGTGGCAGAGAGAGACAGGGAGAATGAAAACGAAGAACAGGCAGAGAATAAAGATGACGCTGATATAAATTCATGCTGTGCCGTGAAAAGGATGCATCTGACAAGAAGGAGGAAGTCAGTACGCCCTGAAAGTGTGATCAGAGTGAAGACCTCCTCTCAGTGTCAATTTTATACCCATCCTTGGATGCATTGCTTAAACAGTGAAGCCTAGAAAGTGGACAATCTCAGACACCACCACATTTTTATCATTTATCACAGTTTTGAGCAAGTCGTGATGATTGTTGGCAAAATGGGCGATTCCAAACTCTCACCTTTTCCAACTATTGTAATCCTACCCAGAAGAGGCTTTAGCATGGTACCCACATGACCTTACAACCATCTAACAGTTTCAAGCAGCTTATCAAGATGAAAAATGTGGTCTCCATATGTAATGCAATTATTAGAATCCATAGACATGGGTTTAAATATGCCAAATGATTATAAGCAGCTGACCTGAGTATGTACTAGCCTTCAGGCTTTTTGACTTGGAAGGCACATAATTATGACCAATATGGACTTCAGGCTGAGAGAAATAGAAACTCAGATGTACCACTGAGTATGAATACTTACATGGGGAAGTATATCTTATATCTGTACTGTAAGATGAATACTTACATCTGCTGAGCAGACAAATGGACCTCTGCAATATTTTGACCAAATTGTTCTATGAGCTCTAAGGCCTTGGGAGGCTGTGCCCTCTCAAGCATACAGAAAGTTTCAGAGATTTAAGATAGGAACCTATTGAACCTTTTACAAAATTTCTGGAATTATTAAATTTCCATGAAATCTAAACTGCAGCGGGCTGAGATAGCTAGCCTACTGCGATTCCAGCTTGCCTGTGATGGGGCCACAGCAGAGATACAGAGGTTGTTAGGTCCAATAAAGAATGTTTCCCCTGGGTGACTGGATCCTGCAATGTCAAAAAATAGGAGGGTGCTGCTGATCATGGATTGGTTTGCTCATCGTGGATTGATTAGCCTGTTTTTATACAATCTAGTTTGTCCATCCCAGGGAAAGAATCACCCACAATTGGATGAACGCATCAATCACTAATTAAGAAAATGCCCTACAGCTGTATTCTATGGAAGCCTTTTCCCAGTTGACTTCTTTCAGATGACTCTTATTTTGTGTCAAGGCGACATAAATCTAGCTGGGAACAGGGGTGGGCTTCAAGGTTTTAACTTCCCACAGCAGGTCCTGTGTCTCTTTCTCTGGGTAATGCCTGTGGATCAAGATATAAATCTCCAGGCTACTTACTTCTACAGCATCATTCCTGCCTGCCTGATGTCATGCTCCTTGTCTTGATAATAATGGAATAACTCTATGAAATTGTAAGCAATCCCCAAATTAAAAGCTTTAGTTTTTCATAAGAGTTGTCTTGTTCATAGTGTCTCTGTAACTTAATAGTGTTATTTTAACTTAATAGTGTTATATTTGTTTATTATAGTGTTAGTCCTCTGTTCAATTTGGGCTTGGACAATCTTTTCCCATTCTACAGCCTGCCATTTTATCTTGTTAATGGTGTTCTTTGCTTTACAGAAGCTTGTCAATTTCAGGAGGTCTTCTTCATTAATTGTGGCTCTCAATGTCTGTGCTACTGGGATTATATCTAGGAAGTGGTTTCCTGTGCTCGTATCTTCAAGTGTACTTTCCACTTTCTCTTCTCTGAGCTTCAGTGTGGCTGGCTTTATGTTGAGGTCTTTGATCCATTTGGACTTGAGTTTTGAGCATGGTGATAGATATGGGTCTATTTGCATTCCTCTACATGTTGATATTCAGTTATCAGCATTTGTTGATATTCATCCAGCACCATTTGTTGAATATGCTTTCTTTTTTCCTTTTTCTATTTTTAGCTTCTTTGTCAAAAAATCTGGTGTTTATAGGTGTGAAGATTGTTATTAGGGACTTTTATTTGAGTCCATCGGTCCTTCTGCCTACTTTTATGCCAATACCAGACAGTTTTCATTTCTATAGCTCTATCTATAATTGAGTCTGAAGTCAGGGATTGTGATGCCTTCCAAAGTTCCTTTATTGTAGAGAATTGCTTGGACTATCCTGGGCTTTGTTTCTCCACATGAAGTTGAGTATTGTTCTTTCTATTTTTTGTGAAGAATTTTACTGGGATTTTGATTAGTCTTTCATTGGATTTGTAGATTGATTTTGGTAAAATTGCCATTTTTATTGTTTGAATTCTATGTATCCAGAGCATGGGAGAGCTTTCCATTTACTGTTGTCTTCTTCAGTTTCTTTCTTCAAAGTTTTACAGTTCGTGTCATACAAGTCTTTCAGTTGTTTGCTTAGAGTTATTCCAGGATTTTTTTTTTGCTATTTATGGCTATTATGAAGGGTGATGTTTTTCTGATTTCTTTCTCACTCCATTTATCATCTGTGTAAAAGGAGGGTTACTATTTTTTTTGAGTTAAACTTGTTACTGCTATATTACTGAAGGTGTCTTGAGTTGTAAGAGTTCTCTGGTAAACCTTTTGGGATCACTTACGTATACTATCATATTGTCAGAAAATAGTGAGAGTTTGACTTCTTTTCCAATTTGTTTTCCCTTGATCTCCTTTTGTTGTCTTATTGCTCTAACTAGAACTTCAAGTACTATACTGAAAAGATATGGAGAGTGGACAACCTTGTCTTGTTCCTGATTTCAAAATGACCTCTTTGAGTTTCTCTCCATTTAGTTTGATGTTGGCTGTTGGGTTGCTGTATATTGACATTATAATATTTAGTTATGTTCCTTATATCACTTCCCTCTCCAAGACTTTTATCAAGAAGGACTGTTGAATTTTGTCAAAGGATTTTTTGAGTATCTAATGAGACGAACATGTGTTTTTTTCTTTCAGTTTGTTTATATAGGTGACTATTGTATGTTAAATCATCTCTGCATCTCTAAGACAAAGCCTACTTGATCACAGTGGATGATTTTTCTGCCTACTCGGTTATAGTGGATGATTGTTCTGATATGCTCTTTGATCTGTTTTGCCAGTATTTTATTGAATATTTTTGAAAATTCATG